AATTTATGTAATATAGCCAAAAAATAATCTAGCAATTCAGATTTCTACTGGTATTTTGTTTAATCATATGGTGTTTTTATATAAATTTATGAGAAAAAATAATTGGATTTAATTAACTCAGTAGTCTTATAAATTGAATAGCATAATGTTTTAAATTTAATTACTTTATAAATTTAATATTAATGTTAAACTTTTTTCTTACAGCTTCTGTAGTGGGTATCAGATTACATATAGCTGTAGCCAGTTGTTGTGTTGCTTCTAGTCTATACCTTCTTCTTATTAAATAAGATGTTGACTTTTTGTCCTATCTGTGCTAATATTTTGACAGTTGAAGAAGGTGGAAGAGGCTATCGATTTGCATGTAGTACATGTCCATACATCCATAACATCTCCAGACGAATTAGCACTCGAAAGTATCCAAAATTGAAAGAAGTAGATGATGTATTAGGTGGAGCTGCTGCATGGGATAATGTGGACTCTACTGAAGAACCGTGTCCAAAGTGTGAACATGCAAGAGCCTATTTCATGCAGCTACAGACACGATCAGCTGATGAACCAATGACCACATTTTATAAATGCTGTAATCCTCAATGTGGTCATCGCTGGAAAGATTAATTACTATGAAAATGAATTTGAGTTTGAACTTTGAAAATATTTCTCTTGATAATTTATACTTTAATTTCATGAAATGGTTAATAATAAGTTAACTTCAGGTAATTATATTGATGCAAGTTATTACAATTTATATATTAATTCTGGAAATATATTATTAAATTGTATTTATCAATAAAATTAAGAGTTTGACTTCAATATGATGTGTTCTGTTTACTTTTCATATTTATTTTTTAAAAAAGACACTTATTACAGTAAAAAATTGTTCATCTGAAAAAGGATCATAATTTATCCTAATGAATTTATTAAGACATCATTTTGACACAATTATAACAATAAAGAATAAAATATAAATTTTTTGTTTGCAATATCTTAGAAATTATGAATTTTTATAACCTAATTTTTACTTAATAAAAAAAAAAACATTTTTTTGTGTAAAAGTTCATATATCTTCATGCTAAGTATTTTTGAAATATGCCTGTAATAGTATTTTTTATTGCTTTACCAATTTTCATTAATATTTTCTACAATGTAATTTTCAAATGAACAATATTTATTACTTAAATTTGCTGGGTTTTTTTTATTGTACTTTTAATATTTTTACAGCAAAATTACTTTCCTATGTACATACTATTTAAGTAATGATAATTTTTCTTTTAATTTACAAGACATTAAATTCTTTTAAAAACACTTGTGTTACAAAATTTTAAAAGGCTGCTTTGATTTATTATAATTCATTTAAATTTTAATTAACGTATGTTGTTAATGGCATATGCTTTGTAGTATCATAGACAGACATCTGAGCCCTTTGTTTTTTGTAAACATGATAACAGAAAAATATTGTAACAATTAGCCCGCTAACAAATGCAATTGAACCAATACATATTCCTGCTATGGCTCCGGGAGATAGATCACCTATAAAAGTGAATACATAATTTATTTGATTTTTCGAAGTTAAGAAAACAATAAAAACAAAATTTACCATATTTTGCTCCTGATGCTCTTCTTCCAAAATCAATTCTGTCTATTTGGCTTGTCACACACAAAATGCATTGTAATGTAACTGTAAATTATAAATGTAAGAATAATAATAATGAGTTTTCATGCAGTAATTTAAATTTTCAAATTTTAAATCATGTTTTTATAGTTGATTTAAAGCATAAAATATAAGAACTCAAAAAATAAGATGCAGGATAAAGACAACCTAAAAATTCAAAATATCACTTAAAACTAGTATCATATTTTCATTGAATTATTGTAAATATTTCTGAAATTTCAATAATTATTCCATGACGTTTGTTTAAGGTTAATTAATTTCAACACTTGTTATACAACTATCCAAATTCATTCTTATTCACTTATTTAAAAATTAATTAGTATAAAATAAGAGAACACTTTATGAAACTATTGCTGCTGCAAATTATTCCTACCTACATAAAACAATATTGAATGCAAAGAATAAGTTATTATTTGGGAAATTATTGAGACCTTTTTATCTTATTTTTTAGATTAAATTGATGGAACAAGGCAACACTAGAGTAAATAAAGTTGTACTGCCTGTAACATGAGAATTGAATTTTATAGTTTTTATTTAAAAAATGCTTTTCTGAGAGAACCTCAATCATTTTTAGTGCAAAAATAATTAAACTCTATTAATTAAAATGCATTTTTTTCGAAGATATTTTAAATATTACATTTGAAAATTTCTTAAACCGTAATGATTGAAAAATAGTCATGTAATTTTCGACCTATCGAATTTTCATAGCTCTAGTTTTCTGAAAATAAAATTGAAAAATTGCTCATTTGAAATTTTTCTCTCAATTTTCTGATTTCAAAATCTCTTAGAAGTTTCTTACATCATTTATACTTTATATAGTTTTCTTCTAAGTAGAAAATATAATCAGTTTGTAACGCAAACACGGGAAAAGATCACTAATCTTTTAATTGATAAAAAAAAATTCTTGAAAAATAACTAATAAAGTAATAATTCTTAGACAAATTTGTATTCTGACTCATATTCATTCATAAGTTGAATTTATTGCTAATTCAAACTGTTACCTCTAACATTTTCTATGTTCTATGAATTAGAAAACATGAACTAGAACAGCGGTTTTCAAAGTGTGCGCCGCGACTTCTTCACGGGCGCCACGAAATATAAAATTTTCATAATTTTACTTCTACTTTCAATTCAGTGTGATAGGATGTGACACGTAGCATACCGGGTGCAAATCATTAACTCAGCAATAAAGGTGGCACACAGAATCGCAAAATGTAAAAAGCCTCATACCATCGCAGAAAAACTCATTCTACCAGCTGCTGTAGATATGCTAAATACTATAATCTGTGCAGCTTTCAAAAGTGCCTTTGCCCAATAACACCATCAGTCGCAGAATACAGAACATAGCGAAGGACCTCCAATGTTCAATTAATTGAAAAAATGAAAGGAGTCTGGATTGCAGCTGGATGAGGACACACATAATAATAATAATGATGCTCACTTGATTTGCTATGTACAGTTTATAGATAATAATAACATTGTAGAAGACTTTCTCTTTTGTAAAAGTATCACTGCTGGCAGCGGCGGCCTTATCCATTGCGAGGCCCTGGGCGGCAGATCTTTGCGAGGCCCTTGTCCTTTGTGCAAAGTATGTGAATTGAAATAGTAGGC